CAGGTAATGGCGGAAATGCAAAAGTTCGCGCTGACGTCTATTCCAACGTAGGAAGTGTTTTGAACAGCTGATCGGACCGGCAAAGCGTGTTTCTGGAATATTGTGTTTTTGTTCCTGCAAGCGCTTTTTATGCAGTTTTTGCAAAGCTTTATGTGGAAGGAAACCGTGACCGAGGACAAGCTGATGGCACAATATGTAAGTACAACTTCTCCGGTTTCATATGCAAAAAAAAAATTTTTGCGCTAGCTTACGTGGTTGCAGTGCTACCGGGATTTAAAAATAGTTATGCATAACAGAGCGTTCCCGCTCCGATCGGCTCTAAAGGGTTAAAATGCCTCGTTTCAGACAGCGAATGAACTGCATAGTTGAAACAAGGAACACTGTAAGTTAAATAAAGTTCATTTTGAGCTGCCAATCATGAATTGTGTGAATCGGCCCCATTTTGGAGTGCAAGAACAAAACTGTGGAATTAATATGATTATAAGAGATCATTAAGGCGCATGTGCGAGAGGATTTAGCTAGAAATTATCTTATTGTGCATCTCTGTGTTGTTGTGCATGAAGAAAGCTCATATTTAAGGAAACCGGTTGTACAAACATATCAAGAGCAAGTTGTGCTTTGGCTCAATTCCAGATCTACCTCTGGGTTAAATATTTGACACTGGAATGATGGTAGAGAGTGGGTATAGAAAAAGAGTGTCTCTTCTTCTTTGTTTTCCTTTAGTTCATAGTTTCAGTGTCTTGACAGATTAGAGCAGTTTTCACTCATTAAATCTCTTACCTGGTGAAGAGTTGGGTCTGCGTGGGGTTGGAGGCGGAGGTCTAGATGGCCTAGGTGGTCGAACAGGCCTCAGCCCTGTTGAAGATACCGATGGAGACCCTGTGCTGTTTACTGATCTACGGCCACTAGGAGAGGACTTGTGCTCTATGCTGTCCACAGCCGGAGAGCTGTCTCGACTGTGCCTGTGGAGGAGGGTGGGTGGATACTGATAAACAAAGCAGGAAAAAAAAGAAGAAACCAGAAATGTGACACTGGTAGAACTTGCCTAAAGACAGGAAGATGTACTATACCTTATGGAATGATCACCATTTGGCTGCGACTCCCCATTTGATGTACCTGAAATAAAAGCATGCAAGAGAAAAGAGTCAAAATGAGAGATTCTGTTAGAATGTAACATAACCAGTCAAATAATTAAGAACTCTGCTATTAGTACTGCTGATATGGATGAAAAGTTGAACTTCTGAAAAAAACATGTCAAAATATCTTCAGTCCCCCTTTTTCAGTTTAAAAAAAAAAAAAAAAAAGTTGTAAAAAAACAAAACAAAAACAAAAAAAACAAAAAAACAAAGGTCCTGTAAAATAAAACAAAAAAATGACATAAAATGAAAAACTTCACATGCTTCCAATATAAGTTCCTCTTTGTGCTCTTCCGTGACTCACTGTGATGGTCGGCTTCTGCTTTTGCGAACATATCAGGATCAACAGTCATGCCGTCAAGGCAGACAGACAGGTCCCCCACCACGTCTGACTCGTCCCTGTCTGCACACAGTTGTAAGGTCTGCACCACCTCAGAAACTACATACAAGAAACACACGATGGTCAGTGCTACTATGGCATCTGAAATACAAACCTTGCCATTAATGATGCCACCAAACTTTACTTCAGTCAGTGGTATAATGTCCCTTAAAAAAATTCTAACCAACAATACACAGTAGTATTTTACACAACATTCATAGTAGAAAAAGAAGTACTTTTTGCCCCCCGTAAGCCTCCTGAGATCACATACTGGATACTAACAAAAAGAAATATAAAAGTACTGTTATAACCATTTATTGATAGCACAGTGACAGAAGCTCACCGCCAGGAGATGTAATTATATATTATAATACATTTTTTAATTAAATGAGAAAGATTACTTAAAAGACTGTTTTCCTGCTTCTGTTATGGCTAAATATTGTACCTAGTACAATAATGAAAAGGTTCATTTTTGAGGTGGAAAACAACACCAAAACACAAAAAAACAAACACGACAAATGATTTCAAACATGAAATCTTGAATATTTAAATTACAAAGTTATGGCAATCAGCATGTGTTTCCCTGCTCTGATATCAAAGTCAGCTCTTGACATTTGATTTGCTCCCAGAGCTCCCTGTCATTAGCTCTGCTCTGCTGGACAGGGTCCATGCATATAAAAAAAATAAAAAAATGACCGCACAGTGAACTGGTCTTTATGAGGGAAAAACAAAAACATAAACAGACCAAAAATCTTCCAGCATACAAGCAGATGACAAAGATTATAAATGGAATACTCTACTGATTGTTTTACTGTGTGTAAGTCAGATAAACCACATCTGTAAGCGCTCTGAAATTCTTTCTGTATGTACGTGTGCTGCAGTGAAACCATGTAAACCTGCATCAACTCACACAGACAGCAGGAAATTATCTGACAAAAACGTTGGTGGGCAGGAAGTGATGTAGTTTATACTTGTAGCAGTTTACTTTTGCAGGAGAAAATTACTAGTTAACCATTACTGTCTAATTGTCTACACATATAATTTCTTATATTTAGCAATCTCCTTTGTTCTATGTGCAACTGTTGTGTTACTTGGGTTAGCCAAAGCGCATTTCTACGGCTTGTATCCAGGATCTTATTTGCTGGATCAGTCAATTCATTGATTTTCCGCTGCATATTATTATGTGCTGGAGCCTATCACAGCTGTCTGACTTGTGTATCAAACTTCTTTGTTAAGGCACAAGAATTTGTAAAACGGACTTAATTTACATTTTCTGTGGTACTTTTGAGTACATCTTGCTTCATCACTGGCAAACGGCTGTATGTGATAAACATCATTTAAAGGGTTGAGAGTTTCCCTTTTTTTGTCATCAGATGCTTGCAAAATTTATTCTCTATATTTGATCCCTTCGCAAAAATTTTACTAAATTATATATCTTTATAATCATATATGTCAACTCTGAGGCAAGGCTCAGAGTGACAAGACACTGTTTTTACCAAGCTAACATGCTTCATCCTGCAGCTCTTCTAGGGGTAAGTTGAGGTATTCCTCAGAGAGCCAAGAAGCATAATCTCCCAGCTGCTTCCTTTCAATTGGACATGTCCCCACACAGCTCACCTAGGAGGCATCTTAGTCAGATGCCTGAACCACCTCAGCTGGCTCCTTGTAGTGTGGAAGTACAGGAGCTCTACTCTGACCCCACCCAAATGACTAGACTCCTTACTCTACCTTTAAGGCAGAACGCACCGCTTGTATGTAGGAACCTTTTTTCCCTTTGTGTCATATATACTCACTTTTCATGTCATTAGATTTGAGTGTTTCACTAAGATCCAGCGTGGCCATCCCTAGCAACAGATCTGACTTCAGGGTCTGGTGGCTCCACACACGAAACACTAGTTTGCTGAATGGAGTTACGATCCTGTGAAAACCAATATATTTAGAAACAGTTACTTTTGAAAGTTTAAAAAACAAACTAAAAAGAGAAAGAAAAAAAACAAACATGCTTTTTTCGATTGAAAAGCTAACATAGGAAAGTTCTTCATGGCCGTGTACACCATTTCAACAACAAGGTTGACAGATTAATATGTGCTGATAGTGTTTTTATAGACTTTCCATTGTCTAAATGAATAAATCTGTAAGCAGTTCTTATTCCACTTCTCAATCACAAGTCCTTAGCTAGCCAATGTCAAGTCAATACCATTTTGTGTGAGTCTTAAAACCTTTTAAAGCTCCAATCTAACATTTGTGTTAAGTACAATTCCCAATGATAAGTTCTACAAGCATCAATAATTACAAATATAGGAAATAACAACCAATTACTCTCAGGAATTCCCAGCACTGCAATCTATTTGACAACTGTGTTACCAAGCTAAACAGTGAACACCACTTTGTCTGTATGAGCAGCAAAAATCTTTGTGTTATCCTGAAAGCGAACCACAGACAATAAAGTTCAAAAGCTATTCAGGGACAGTGAGTGTCCATGACCGTCACTACGACAGTTGTTTAACAGTCACCAGGAAAAGAGACAGTGGATATGTGGACTGGGTCCGGTTACACCCCATAGTAAACACTTGTTATATAATAACGCTTCCCCCGTTGGTCTAAAAGAAACTGTAGGAGGGTTCTATAATAAGAAGGCCACTTTGCATAGAAGGAGACATTAGATAGGCTAAAATTAAGGGGGTGCTAAATGTGTGAATATTTTTACTGCAGGAAGTGAAGTGGTGTGAGTGCACTAAATGTGAAGTGCATTCTTGGAAACAGGAGTCCTGTAAATGCACAGGACACTCACCCAACTGTGTGGGACTGTAACTGCTAATGGAAGCCAATTCCAAACACACAGATCTTTAAACTTCTCTTTAAACTGGAAACTCTATGAAAACCGAGCCCAAGAGCGTATGCACGAAAAACAATTGCACAGTTTCAGTGAAATTCTATTTTTATATTCTCATGAGAGAAACTGACAGTTTGCTGGGGAAATGATGATTTGTCTTACCGCATAGTGCAGTCAGCAGTAATCGTGCATGGTACACTTCTTCCTTTGAGCCAAAACCCAAATTACCACACTGTTTTTATTAATCACTTAATGCAGTCTCTAGGGATTATAGCCATTAAATGGGTTGTAAAAATGTTTGAACAAAGGAATGATGCTCTTCTCACCGAGGAGCACAGGCATCATTTACTATATGCTCTCTTTTTGATATGCATATTTTATAAGCTACAAATATAAACTACTATCATTTTATTAGTGCCAAAACTTTTGTTTTCCTTCAACATAGTTGAATATTTCTCACTCCATAGAGATGCTTAGAGAATCTTTAAAGGGTGCCCTTTATGCTTTTGCTGATTTTCATATGGATATTTATACAAACATGGGCAAAGTTTCAAATAATGAGGTCAGCATTTGTACAAGTAGTTCTGGTGAGTTAAAAATTAGGGTTTTAGATGTTGTATGATGTCAAAAACAGGGGATATCCTTAATATGGTCATCTCACAGCTGTATTAACCTACTGTTCAAACCTCCTGTTTGCAAGAAGAGGACTGAAAAGGGTCTGTCGCAACATAAGATAAATACAGATCTATCTTTTTAAACTGTGAATGATGCAATTACTCTACTCTGCTCTCTAGTTGTTTCGTTTCTCCCTCTGAAAACGCTACATCCAGATGAGCAAACTTGAGGATTTGGTAAATACACAGTTGGTTTGGTTTCCTGAAAATATAAGTAGTAACATTTATGACAATAAACAGTCTATGGCATCTATCTGAGTAAGTGGGCTATTAGATGTTTTATGGGCACATTTAAACATTAGAATTCATTCTGTATCCTTTCTCATAAATTCAAACATTTGCAATTTAAATACAGGTTTTATTTAGACAGGTTTGGCTCGAGTTAAATACCTTTTATGGGTAATAAAATAGAAGTATGGCATAGGAGTATCTATGATATGAATTAATATACAAGTCTAGTAATCCTGGCAAGACTGACTCACACAGTGAGCGGCTGCTTCCATTTGGGGCTGTGAGTGTTGGTACATTTCTCTGTTTTCTTGGACTGGCCGTCGACTGTCACTTCCACATAGGGACTGGGACCAAACCAGTTTTTCTTGTTTTCTTTCAGTTTTGCTGATAGCACTAAACAGGAAGAATACATATAGTAAATGAGCAGTCAGATGTTGGAGTCCAAAACAAAACAAATAAATTGTTTACAACTTTAATTTAGGAACAAAATACTAGTATGAAGGCAGTGGGGGAACAATTATTTGATCCCCTGCTGAATTTACAAGTTTACTTACAAAGAAATGGACAGTCATTTTAATGAAGGGAAACAAAGTCCCAAACGCTAAAACTCTAAACCCTTTAGGTTTCTAGGCTGCCGCTTGGCAGCTTGAGGTTTCTTTCCCTTCACAGATTTTTCTACAGGATTCAGGTCTGGAGACTGGTTAGAACACTATGTGACCTTAATGTGCTGCTTGACAGTATGTTTTGAGACATTGTCATGATGGAAGACTGATCCACGGACCCATGTGCATGTCTACGACCCATGACGTCTTGGGCAGCTCTTTGGTCTTGCCCGTGGTGACGGCTATGTTGGAATGGAAGAAATTGATTCTGTGGAGAGGTGTGCTTCATACACAATATGAGTTGAGATCAGGAATACAATAAATATAATTAAATGACTGATTGTAATTAGTGGGAGCCAGAATTGTGGTGTGGTTGTAGGGGATGAAATTCTTATTTCACTCTATGACATGCAAATCAGTTTGTTCTGGATTTTGTGGTTGGTATTCTCTCACTCTATTATTACCATAACAATTAGAGACTGTTCCTTTCTTTGTGAACGAGCAAACATACAAATTTTGTTTTTTTAACTGGTAGTAAAAAATATGCAGTAATAGCAAGAAGCACAGATTTTTACTAATGAGAACATCTGAAAAACTTAAGCAGCTATCTGAATGCTCAGAAATAAAATAAGTCAACCTGACTTTTATTTTAACCTCTGTGTGTCGGTCTTCACTTCTTGATGAAGACCGAAGACTCACCAACGATTTGTAGCTGTGCCCTAATAGGGTATCCATTGGAAGTGCCCGACTTGGTGGCTCCACTGGCCATGACATAGGGCTGGTATAAAGGCCTGTAGACAACACATCATTAGGTTGGTGACAATCATGCAGAACTCATACAGATATGACTAAATTATCTCATCTGTAAGTTGCAGATGTGCACCATACTGGTGAGATCATTTAGCTCAAATATATTTAGCTTACATTGTGAGCTGAACTGATTTCTGACTATTAATAGGTAAAAAAAATATGAAACACTACATTAAAAATATTTATATTTCACAAATTATCTCTGCAAATCTACACTGTACAGTAAAATAGAAAAATATCAGAGCTTTGAGCAAATTTTCATTAACTACAGGAATTATACTGCAACTATATTTCTTACTGAAATACTCTTAAAATGTACAACATCTGAGATTAAAATAGTACACAATGACTTTCATTCATACACAGTCACAGACATTTGGTGGCAAAGCTGGGAAACAAACCACTAACTATTTGATTAATGGAAAACTCGCTCCAACACCTGTCTGTAAAGTGCACTGAGACTACATTTGTTGCAACTAAAACTGAATTAATCAATTAGTCAATTTAATCAGCTGCAGTTCAGCAGTCAAAGCTATAACAGTCAGTCACTATAAGAACCTTGCAAGATGCATAAAGCACATCAAGCTCGTACATCTTCCATAGCTGACACAAAAGTATCATAACTGTGGGCTCCAAATTACCTCTAATGCATATTTCTTCCTATATTCCTGTGCAAATGCTTTCACTGGGTTTGGCTTGAAGCAAGCAGCCTTTACCCAATTATCTTCAAAGTCTAAGATAAACAAGAAATACGCCAAATCACTATTCTCGCCAAATCTGTGCAAACAACTTAGCTTAGCTTAGCTCAACGGACACCCTACTTAGGACATCAGCAACATGCATACATATTTTTTCCTTTGTACAAAGACTTCTACCTAAATAATGTCATCACCTGGAGAGTCATTTTGAATAGTAGAAAGTCTACATTAAAAAAAAATAATTGTATTTCCTTTCAGGATCCCATCCTTAACAACACTAAACAGTATAATGACCTGTTAAACGTCCGCAACAAGGGAACAGACTGACGGTAAACTCAAAATAAAAAGAATATCAGTTCAAGCAACAGTAAAAATCTCCTAAATGCTGCGTCATCATGGAAGGTAATAAAAGACCACAAAAGGAGGCAAAGGCCAGGGCTGCAGGCTGTGAAACCTGTAAGGTGGCTGTAAAAGAAAATCTTATGGGTCTTACAAAAAAACTTGTGATCTTTGTCACCAGTCTTCACTTTAAGATCACAATTTCATTTATATAATACATGAGAGCAATTACATAAAGCTCATGCCAAAAATACACCGACAACAGCAATAATTGGTTCTGAGGATAAGGTTGCCAGGGCCAGTTATACTGTTTGCTTATAAGCATGTCAACAGTATATGAACTCCGAAAGCTCTGAAGCAGGCCCTGTGATCTTTTCTTGATTGTGGTTACTTCAGTGTGGCACTGAATAATGCAGGGTCCTCAGCTCTAGCTCATCCAACAGTCTACGCACACAGCAGAGCAGGAGACAGTGAGGAGCTCCCGGGTAAACTTTCACGTTGGCTACTGGTCTCAGTCAATAATTCATTATAATTGCTGACTTTGCATCCTTGCAAGTAGGCTGAATGTGTATCATGGATGAGTGTATTTCCTGGATACTAAACTGGATTTTTGTGTTTTCAGCTAAGCAACATCTCCCACTATTTCACAAAGTGCATCTGGGGTTTCTTGAAACTAATCTGAACTCAGACTGATTCAACTATTGCCTGTTAGTGCTGTGGTGTTGCAGGTGAACCAACTATTTTGAACAGTATGACCAAAACCGCATAAGAGGAGCTTTTCATTACTATATGCTGAACTTCTATTGTCAAGGTTGCTAACACCTTGTTAAATCACATGGACACGCTGTTTACATCATGACTAAGAGGGCAAAACAATGCAGCACATCAAAACAACATACCGTCGCAATGACGAACATGAAATCTTTGTCAGATAAAAGGGACAAATGGGTTTTCTAATATTACGATTCAAGCAAACAATACTCAAAAACCGTCATTATAAGTAAAAATCGGAGACTGTTGAGAACAATTGCGACCGAGGGCACAAAATAACGTAAACGTCATTCTTCCATTATGTTTACAAAGCAATTATGTCAAAAGAGAAAACTATGCGGTCAGGACAGCTTGCTAATAGAGGGCACTTGGGAGCAGTGACGTTTGACAGGTGCAGTCAGTTTCCCGAAGAGTCAACAAGCTTCCGTATACCTTTAATAACACTTCTTTTCACTGCTTCACTGACACAAACCCATTTATAATAATATAAATTCCTACCAAATCACTTCAACATTCCTCAATAGCGTACTGAGAAATGACTCCATGACGTCTAAGCGTAAAGATTTAATCGAACTACTAAAATATCAGATTGAGTGTGGCGCACCTTCCTTCGCAAATGACAGCACATAGCTGAGAAGAAACTACTCAATGTACCTCCACATTCCGTGTCTTGGATGCTAAGCTAAGAAACGTTCGTAAGATTACATAATTTAATCCAACTAGGAATTGATAACAAGCTAACGCTAATCCGGTTAGCCGGAGAAAGAAGTACAGTATGTCCTGGTTGCCAAAGTCAAAAGCCATGAAGTTGACCACTTTTAGTTATGTTCGCCGCTGTGGCTTTTTAACTAGAGTTGCTGAGTACGTGTTGAATGTCAGCTGGCCACCAGAATTGACAGCCTGGTGCCATCCCAGCCCAGGCTAATTACTAGCCTGCTAGCTTGTGTCATCATCATGGCTGGCTGGAAATCCCAAAGTCCAACGGCTGTGGAAAAAGCTAATATCACCGATGAGAACTCCAGTTATTGGCTCCCATTACTTACCGGAGTCCGAGCGAGGAGCTGTAAAACTAACGCGCTGTATCTAAAGTGTCCACCCAGCCTTCGCTCACCAGGATGTTTGGGTTTCTGTTGGGGGTTTCACTTCAAGGAAGAAGAAACTTCCACCATCTTCGTAAGCTCGTATCACGTGATCGAAACAAGGTGGAGCGCGCACGCTACTCCCTCTTTGTACCGTGATTGGACAAGAGTTGTAGTGCTACGAACCAATAGACGGTCAGTAAACATAATGATGCATTTAAGGTACTTGCAGTCTAGTCATAAACCTTACGTTAACGCAATGTTTTTAATGCCTTGTGCAGCATTTTTTAAAATAACGAATATATTTTTATATATACTTGATATGAAGGATATCCATCATCTTCTGTGGCAAACTTGATACATAAATGTGTTTATGATGTGTTTAGTGAAAATAGGCTTAGGTAAATACAGTTAGAATAAAATATCCACAAATCTCTTGTGTGCAAAAAGAAATTCCTGTTCAATCTTAATCTGTCCTATGTAGCTCTTGACAATGTAAAATTTAACATGCCATTAAAAATATCAAAAGACTACTTGATTACCAACATATTTTGTATTTGACTTTAAATGTAGTCATATTTCTAATTTGGTTAGAAATATTTCTTATGGAGGCTGTTTCCTATTTACAGATGGTGGTCCAACAACAAACGGCAGATGGAAGTGTTGTGCTGTATAGCTGACTGTGTAATCGTTGTCACCTCCTCGGTGAGGACAAAGAGCTGTAGGGACAAAGAGAAGAGTGTTTACTAAAGCTCACTAAATTTAATATAGCAATAGGTTAATATACTACATACTGCGTGTGTTATAATTCATAGATATTACAATCTAATAAATAGAACATAAATGTAAAATAGGATGTATTGTACTATACACTTAATGAATACAAATATGTCAGTTCAGTTCAGAGATGCTTTATTTTGAAAGTGCTAACAGGAACGTAGTATTCGCTATGACGTTTGTCTTGACTCCTATAGCGGGGTGGTCGGGTTTGGTCACTGTTGATACAGAGACAGCATGAGACAGTTCTCTGTTCGGATCATGCAAGCATGGGGATATTTGGAGGAGAAGACAGTTTGACAGCTAACTCAAAGAAAAGGTAAGCCACAAATCTCAACACCAAGCATTAGGAACAGTCCAGGGCACGACTTATTACAATGTTTATGAGCCTTCACTTGAATTGTGGCCACACAGCGCAAGATGCAAACGTGTTGTGTCTTATGAAAAAGAAAAACTGCACCAATGCAATGCATAAGAAAAGTTACTCCATGACTGTGGAAAATCCACGATGTAGGCATGTAAATCCGATACAAGGTGTCTGTAACACGTAGTAATAATCATGCACGTTGTATTTTTTCACAAAAAATAATAGAACTATTTACGAGTATGTTTATTATGATAGAGAACAATAAGGTTTTTGTAGCTGACACTCACTGAAAGCATTTTATGCAATATTAAAAGATTCTAACATTTTTTTTTTTCCCTTATGGGGTTTTGTATATAGGGTTCATGCAAGTTGAGGGAAGGTCACACCCTGAGCTGACTCCTTGGCTGCTACTGCTGTTGCAGTTCTAAGTAATATATGAATAGAATACAGAGGGATAAAATAGTGTATGCCATGATTATCTTCACTACTGCGAAGCACAGATGGCAGATGGTCAACATCAGGGAGTCTGCAGTGAGTCAACATGGCATGAAAAGTAAATGACATCTGACAGTAAAGATGGACAATATAGCAGTGCTTTAGTGGGAGGTGATAGTGTTTCCTGTCATTAGGAGCACTCTGAGATTCAATCAAACACTAGATGGCTTCTAATAGAACAGTTTTTTAAAGCAGTAAGCAATGTGGGGAAGGGATTTCTGCTGAAATTGACATTGCTGTTGTAAAATCTTCACATCCTTGAGTAATGCCGGTTGATAAACTAATTACAGAACGCAAACTAAGGAAGGCATCCCCAAGTGCTCCTTTTGACATTCAGTCTGACTTAACAGCACAGAGAGTAAAATAATATAGGAAACACAGAGGTGCACACAAGCTTGCTCGAAGTTGTTCGCATCAGACTGACAAGTGCTTTGTTATTTCTCTTAGCATTTGCATTTCTCCCGGGTGATTTTCATTTCCTTCTACATGCACATTAGCAATCACTAGAAAACCTCTGCAGACTGGTAGGACCTGCTTTGAATGTGTGTGTGTTTAA